TCCCCAATACCTCACCCTCAGTCTTGCCCTGGACCGGGAAAGCCCGAAAAGGCTTATGTAACATCCCGGCGAACGACAGCAACCAAAGACGCCGAGGCAGGTGACTAGCATTTTTCACAGCTTGGAAAGTCTTGAATTGCTTCCCCTACACTCCTGAGCGCATCAGATCCAGCCCTTTTTACACTTTTTTATCAAGGTCATCTGAGACGTTTGTTCGTCCCAGATCCTCGGGCTGGTCTCAATTTCTTTTATTCTCAATTCTTTGTGTTTTCCCCCGAGTTTCAACTGAGACCGACTAACACGCGTGACGACACCTAATATATTCGTCAATTATCAGATTTCCAACCAAAATGGCCGATTACCTATCATCCCTCTCCTTTCTCGCAGAGAACCCTGCCGCCGCGGCCATCAATGATGCATACTCCTCGTTCTCCGACCGAAGGGCTTTGCTTAACCTGCCCAACCCCGGCACTGTCGATAACCTCGCCAGGGAAGTGCAGAAGGATGTTCTCTTGACCAACTTCATGTTCTCCGGTCTCCGGGCAGATCTGACCAAGGTCTTCGGCATGTCTCCTCTGTTCCGTGTGTCGCATGCGTTCTCTATGGGCTCAACCGGCAACCTGCCTCCATATGCTTTCTCCGCCATGTACGGAAGCCCCAGGGTAAGGACAACTATTCCATGCGATCCGTGTATCGACCCCTGCGATTCTCGGTTTCTAACATATCATTCTCCGATAGGTGTTTATGCAAGGTAACTACGGAAGCGACGGTGCACTCGCTGCCGTCGCCAACTACCGCTGGAACCAGGCCCTTGTCACCAAGACCAATGCTCAGATCATGAACGGTGGTACTCAGGGCTTGGTCCAGATCGATAACGACTACACTGGCCGTGACTTCTCTGCGTCCCTCAAGGCCTTCAACCCCTCTTGCCTCGAGGGTGGTCTCACTGGTATCTTCGTCGGCAGCTATCTGCAGTCCATCACCCCCAGTCTCGCTCTTGGTTTCGAGGCTATCTGGCAACGCCAGAGCATCACCGCTCGCCCCGAGACTGCTCTGTCCTACTCCGCCAAGTATAAGGGTGAGGACTGGATTGGTACCGCTCAGCTGCAGGCCCAGGGCACTTTCAACGCCACTTACTGGCGCAAGCTGTCCGAGCGTGTTGAGGCTGGTATTGACATGAACCTCCAACTCCAGCCCTCTCCCGCTACTCTTATGATGGGTGGCCCTGCTCGTGACGGCACCACTGCTATTGGTGCCAAGTACGATTTCCGTGCCTCTTCGTTCCGCGCCCAGGTTGACAGCGCCGGCAAGGTTAGCTGCCTTCTCGAGAAGCGCATTGCCATGCCCATCTCTCTCTCCTTCGCTGGTGAGATCGACCAGGCCAAGGTAAGCGACATCCCTCTTCGTAATCGCGATCTCAATATTGGATACTAATTTTTTTCTTTCTCTCTCTAGCAAACGGCTAAGCTCGGTCTTGCCGTCTCCCTTGAGCTTGCTGGTGAGGATGTCATGGAGCAGCAGGAAAAGGTTGACCCTGCCAGCATGATTCCTCCTCCCTTCTAAATCTCTCCTCTCGCCTCGCCCGAGATAATAACCCTTTCGCCTCCCATGTTTTAGTAGTTCTTCACTCTTCATGTCTGAAATGACATATGTTGTCTCTCTTCCTCGGTATATCCTCTTTGATTGGGTTGCTGGTGCAGGTGGCCAGTTTTTTTGGCGCCATGGAGATTCCAACCTTTTTTTTGTATAGATTCACACTCCGGTTCTTTGATTTCCTTTTCCATTACCACCTGATGCTGCATCTCTGTTTGGCTTGTGGTCTGATATCTTGTGTGTCCTCGCTATCTTTCCAGTTCATTTCCTTGCATGGCCATGTTTTGGGTCTATGGGATTGCCAGGTCTGGGATGCATGGCTGCGCCTGCAGATCGCTCTGGTTATGTTTTTCGCATCATAGACGGGCCAATGTAAAACAAGTTTTGATTTAGTTGAATCAGTTGCAAATTATTTCATTGTAATTGTCTTATGTTCTACCCTAAGGCTCAGGATGTCCATTGGTACAAAGTCACCTCTTTGTCCAATGGATATCAATGCATAGGTGTTGAGATTGCCATAAAAAGTCAGACCGTTGGATATATAGGTCTTTGAATAAATCGTTCAGACTAAGATATCTAAAGACAAAGCTCTTTTTTCTTTTTTCTTTTTTCTTTTTTTTTCTTTTTTCCAAGACAGAGAAACCAAAACAAGCCATTAGACACAGACAAATAAAAGCGGAGAGGAAAATAATCCCGGATAATGCCCGTATATACCCAAAGCGGTGACCGGGACAAACGACGGCATATCTTCCAAGACCACAACAAATCAGACGAATCAACCATACAAGGTCACTCCACTGTATGCTGTGGGCACTGGGATAGCTCATTTAATTGGTCGATGACTCCGGACTGCCGCAGTGGCCTTATGCATCTCCTCGAATAGAACCGTTTCTGCTTCATTTCTCCACTCAATTGGACTAAGTTTCTCGGTAAAGTGGATTTATTGATATGTTGGGTCTTCCATGTTTCGCTCTCGAAAATGATACGGGTTATTGTGGATTGTGTTTTCAGCAATAGAAAATGAAGTACATGTTACGGCGTGCATAGAAGGATATTAGTTTAGGCATACTGTAGAGGTGCTATGGGTACTTTGTCGCCCAAGATGGCATGTGGGATCCTCAGCCACTTACTCCATACCCCAAGTTTGAAGACCTAAATCCGTCAGTTGTGAGGTCTCGATGGGCCATAGTCAACCCCGTTCCCTGCTTCGAGTGTGGCTGGGTCTGATTGCCGCCTTGCGATTGGAAGTCCCGTTGATAGTCGGGTGTTCGGACGCTGATTATCAGACTCCAGTGACATCATATTCCCCGTTCAACCCTTTTTAGGGCTTTCCTTTTCGCAAATCTCTAAATCTCTTACCGGGTTGCTATGTATATAAGAAAAATTGGCCAGTTATCTTCGCCTGGGATGCACCTAGGGATGTATGTCCCGGATAAATGGCTGACCCGGGATGCTATTCTAAACGAATCAAACACGACAATGAAAACGAAAATGAGAAAGAGAAAGAGAAAGAGAATTATAGTTTAGAGGGGGTCCGAGTGTCTCGGCCCAATTGACAGGCTCTTGAGTTTTTGGTAATATACCTCCAACGTACGGAGTACATGCTGTTCCCTTGAATAATATGTATAATTTCCTTTGGAAATGAATGTGGGGAGTGTGTCCACATGGCAAATTCGTTCCCTTGAAAGGGTTCATTGGTAGATTTGGGCAATTTTCAACCTTAGGATCGTTGTTTTTTTTTTGGTTTTTGTATTTCGTTCTATCTGTTCCATGGAGGTCTTGCCCAAGGTTCATGGTGTACCTACTCTGGATAGATCATAGGTTGGCACCATATAGAAAGAATGATAGTACCAGTTCCTCGGATTAGAATCATACAATCTAATATATTCACCCCTAAGCAGTGTGGATATCGGTTAGATTCTTCAGGTTATTGTGGAATGAGTGTGAATAGACGCAATGTGTGCTTTTTGTACAGATCGGTAGATTTGGATCGTCATGAACATGGCAGATCTAGCCATAGGGTGGGCAGAGTTGGACCCAATTTCGAAATTGAACCAATAGCCTGCAAGATGCTTCGCATATTTTACTTGGCCCGAATTCCTTGGATACTTATGATATATATATCATATAGCAATTGCAATCTCAGCCTACGAAGACGTCCAAGTGCTATTTTGGATACCGTATCTCTATTTGAGAGATAACCCACGTGTCTGACAGAGAGACGAACGGAATGCCGTTCCTTGCTTCCATGCTTTACGATCCGTACATGCCGATGGTGCACTATTGGGGACATTCCGCCGGTTTCCTCCCGTGCATATGCATCGACATTTTAAACATCATGCCAGTGCCAGCCGGGAAGTGTTGCTTTTACCAGGAACACACCCGGCTCCTCATCCCGGGTCCGTGAAACAGTAGTGCTACTGGTATGTGCATTGTGCAATTTTATACATTCAAGTCTGTATACGATATGTAACGTCCAAGGCTTGTAGGCGGGTACCAAGGCTGTAAGACTGTATGAATATTGAATTGCATCCACTCTGATCCTCAGGACAAGCGATTTGATTATTAATGGCTGATAGTGAGTTATAGTCAGCAAATAGCTGGATATATATTGTTTGCCGAGACCCGATGGACACTTCGGAATCCCGAGTTGTAGATATGTAGTCATGGTTGTACCGGTGCATGGTTCTGAATGACATGGATTCCTCTTTTTTTTTTCTTCTCTCTCTCTCTTCTTTCAAGTTGACGGCATCAGACCCCTGTTGAGGGGGCGTCATTTTTTTTTTCATTTTTTTTTACTCCCTCGTGTCAAGATTCACTGAGTCGCATGACTCTGAACGAAACTGTGGCAATTCCGATCCCCAAGCCATGGTCACCTGCTCTCGGTCTGGTGACGTCGATGAGGGGAAGCTCATGGTTTAGGTATTTGATATATATTTCGAGAGATTTCAAGAGTTCTAAATCTTAGGTAAGTGTTAATATTGGGATATAAATCGATCTACCGTTTTATTTTATAGACAGTGTGCTCTACTATGTACTCCGTACGAAGTAAAAATGATTAATGTGAAATGTGAAATGGTCTGAAATACCATGTAAATACCAATACGAATACCAACAAACAGTACTAGTACTAGTACTAGTACACGGTAAATGGACCGTGCAAGTAGCCCTGGTAGCTCCTCAACGTTAACCTTTTGAGCCAGGTGCATCCCTACAGCGCAGGGGCCAAGTTCAGTCGAGGGAACGTCCTTTTTTTAGTACCTGAGTTGGCTGCCAGGAACATTCCTAACCCCCTTCATTAATAACGGGTTCTTTTTCCATATCTTTTGTTTTTTGGGGGGGGGGGAAGGGGGGAGGTTTTCTTTCTTTTTGATATTCTATTGGCTTCCCTTTTCTGATACATCACGATGCCTGTGGATGCCGAGTCGGGGTTCATCTGCCGGTACAGCATGGACGGGACTACGGCTGGAATCCCAATGATTGTCCCGAATTGGGCGTCGGCTGAGATAGCTTCGACTCACATGCCAAGGGATCCCTGCACAGTATACTTCGAGAGAGCTCCTCGAAAGAATGGAAGTGGAACGGGAGGCCCCTTTCAATTCCGATGGATTTTCCGGGCCGAATAGCTTTTCTGGTTGAATATGTTGTATATGGCCTTTTCAACCGCTCGGTCTAGTTCCCAATTACCGGTGTGTTATTGTTCTTTTCTTTTTTTCTTTTTTTCTTCTTTTCTTTCTCTTTTTTATTTCTTTCTCTCCCTCTTCTTTTTATTTTATTTTTGGAATACCCCTGAAGCTGTGCAGAGAATCCGATAGAAAAGCTAAATGATAGTTAGTCGTTAGTAGAGTATAGTCCACATATATTATTAGTACGTATTCGTTGAACCTGGAACGGGTCCAGCTCCAATTGCAGCTTTGACCACTTGGACCATCTTTCGGCCCAAGCTTCTTTTTTTTTCGAGGTCAGCTGGTCTCGTGATAGAAAAAGGATTACAGTACATGTAAATTCAACCAATGAAATTGGTTCCAGGGAAAATCACCGTTGGGTCACCCGACATCCTGTTTCTATTACCTGCCTATTTTAGGGGGGGATATATAGGGTGTAATAGCTATTAACAGATATAGTATGTATACTATACTATGTATAGCTTCAAGGTATATTCCCACTACCCCGGAGACTCCGCTTTCTCCAAAAAGCCTTTTTTTTTTTTTTTTTTCAACGTTTCCCGGGTTTTTCGTACATTCGTACACCGGCTTGTATTGGTAAATACACCAGTGACACCCGTACCTATGATATCATCTCCCGAACTTGGGTAAATGACAGTAAGTTACAAGACTTATGCTTGAAATAGAATATAATATATTAATTTCTGAGAGATATACACATACCTTAATATAAAATATATGTAGCTTATAAGAAATTAAAATGAAAGAAGGAATAAAAAAAAAAAGAATAAACACCATAAACAGCATAAACAGCATAAACAGCAATTATCTGAGAAAGTTGGATTTGAACTTGAACTTGTAGCTCTCCCGCCCCTCTCTTTTTTCCTCTTTTCCCCCTCCCCTTCCCGAATTGCTCACCCCCATAAAGACATTGGCTTTGATTCTTGAGATCTATTTCTCTTATTTATTTGTTCTTTGACAGAATCGGATTTTTAAAAACATACACACACACACATACTAAAAGAGAAAAAAAAAGAAAGAAAGAAACAAAAGAAAAAAAAAAAAGGAAATCCATTCCATCAACGTCACCTTTCTTTCGCCCTGAACGCCCCAATTTTACCTAACCTTTCCCTAGTCTAACCCGTCTTATTTCACTCGATTCGACTTTATTGGTTGAACATTCTCTACGCAAAGTTCCAAAGTTGCCCACCTTCTCCTCTCTCATTCTTCTTCCTCTTCCCTACTTTTAACTTGACATTCTTGGCTTTTGGCCATTTTGCTTCCTTTCCCATCGGTCCTTCCGCCCCTCCCTACTCCACCCCGGTTTAACCACCCAAAACGGTCTTCTCAACTTCACATATCTATTTCCGCCATGTCACAGAATCGACCCGGGTTGTTCCCGACTTTGCGCATGGGTGGTAAGTTATTCTCTTCTTCAATGGTGCAAAAAAGACTGACCTTTTTCTCAAGAGGTCATCCGCGAGAAGGTCCAAGATGGGCTGACCGGCGAATCCAAGGAGATCTCCTACACTCAGTGCAAGATTGTGGGAAATGGCTCCTTTGGTGTTGTGTTTCAGACCAAGATGGCTCCGAGCGGGGAAGATGCTGCCATCAAGAGAGTCCTCCAGGATAAGCGGTTCAAGGTAAATGGGTTCTCGACCTGGGATCAGTATGTGTGTGTCAGATCACTAACCTAGCCTCTCTCTCTCTCTCTCTAGAACCGTGAGCTGCAAATCATGCGGATTGTGCGCCATCCTAACATTGTCGAACTCAAGGCCTTTTACTACTCCAACGGCGACAGGGTATGTGTCTCCTGGGTGTCCCGCCCGATCGTCTTTCCGTCCCCCGTTCCCGTGGGCTGACCGTGCCCCGGAATTTCCCCTCAATAGAAAGATGAAGTCTACCTCAACCTCGTCCTCGAGTATGTCCCCGAGACGGTGTACCGCGCATCGCGTTACTTCAACAAACTCAAGACTACGATGCCTATGCTAGAAGTCAAGCTTTACATCTATCAACTCTTCCGGTCGCTGGCCTACATCCACTCCCAGGGTATCTGCCACCGTGATATCAAACCCCAGAACCTTCTTTTGGACCCCGCCACTGGTATCCTGAAGCTCTGCGATTTCGGATCCGCTAAGATTCTGATCGAAAATGAACCTAACGTTTCATACATCTGCTCTCGCTACTACCGGGCGCCTGAACTAATCTTTGGTGCCACCAACTACACAACAAAGATTGGTACATATCCCTTTTTCCATGCACATTCATATTCAATTTCTGACATTCTTTTTCCCCTCTAGATGTTTGGTCGACAGGTTGTGTGATGGCAGAATTGATGCTTGGACAACCCCTCTTCCCCGGCGAATCGGGCATTGACCAGCTGGTAGAAATCATCAAGGTTTTGGGCACCCCAACTCGGGAACAAATCCGCACCATGAACCCCAACTATATGGAGCACAAGTTTCCTCAAATCAAACCCCATCCCTTCAACAAGGTATTTACTACGCCGTACCTCTTGTTCTGTAACGGTGCTGACCCCGAACTAGGTTTTCCGTAAGGCACCACCGGAGGCTATTGACCTTATCTCCGCCCTTCTGGAATACACCCCGACACAACGGTTGTCTGCGGTTGAAGCGATGTGCCACCCGTTCTTCGATGAGCTCCGCGACCCGAACACCCGGCTACCGGACTCACGTCACCACAACAACCCCTCCAAGGATCTCCCCGCCCTATTCGATTTCTCACAACATGGTAAAATATCTCGCCCTCTCTCAAGATGAACGGTACCTCTTACTCATTCCATTTTTAGAACTTTCGATTGCCCCTGATCTCAACGCCCAAATGATTCCCCCTCACGCTCGTCCAGCCCTCGAAGCTCGTGGCCTCGGCCTCGATACCTTCAAACCTCTTTCCAAGGAGGAGATGCTTGCACACCTCGACTGAGTTGACCAGTGTGTGTGTCCTCCGCCCTCCGCGAGGGATACGTCTGTTCATTGTGCCGCCATCTGCACTTTGCATGAGATTCGACCTGCCAACCAAGTTCCATCATGATCTCGAGTAAGCTCTGAATTGAGACTGCACTGCCTTGTCTTTTTCTTTCTTATTTTTTTTTTCTTCTTTGGGGACTCGGTATGCCTCAACCATGGACATGGTGGAACCTTGGGAACTGGTGAATGAGCAGGGAATGGTATGAAGTGGGAAAAGTGCATCCTTTTAATGGCTGGGGGAGCGGAAACCATGTTTCTTCGGGGTGGTACGGTTTCACGCAATGGGAGGTCATGGCCTGGAGTTTATTTTGAGGTGTCTGAGACAGCTCTTGGGAGGAAAAAGTGATACCCTTTCTGTGTACGTCTGCCTTTGGGGGTCGGAGACTGCATAGTTTCATCGGTCGAGGGGAAGAACCCCCAGACGCAGCAAGTCGATCTCGACCCTGGATATGGAGGGGCTCAATCTTCCCACAAATGCATCGGAGATCTTGAAGATTTCTTTGGATACACGTTTAGGGAGGACCCTTCTATGATGGTCAATCTCTCGTCTTGCAGCGCTAGAATCCCCATTCGTTCTTCCCTTTGCGTCCTTGCTTTCTTTTTTTTTTGGGTCGCAATATCCTTGTATCAGATTCATCGGGCTCGGCTGGTTCCCCGGTCCTCCGACTTACCGGCCATGAGCTATATGTCATTCCAGTTCTCAAGCAGACGATCTTCTTTTTCTTTTTCTTTCTTCCGGTAATGATGCGTAGATATTAAATAGGATTTGAACAGTGGAATTGTGTACAGTATAGGGTAGAATGGATTCCACTCTCCTACATCTACATGTATTGGTTGGAGAGATACTTCCACTACGCAGGGGCACCGGGTCCGGAACTTCAATTTCCCCTTCCGAGCTCCCCATTCACCTCAAGCTAGCTGTCACCCTCGCTTTCCATTTTCCCAGGATCACTGTCTCTACGATAAAAACCTGGTATTACACAGGCTCATTGGATTGATTCCAGATCATAATGGCCGAAAACGACCGTCGAAACCAGGGCTACAGGGGTGGGCGCAAACGCCGTTACAGAGGTAAGAGACATGGATCTGACAAGCTTACTGGACAGCACGCTAACATGACTTGCGATTCTCACAGATGATGATGACTTTGATCGTCGCCCCCAAAGGCGCAGATATGAGGAGCCATTGTTCGTCCAGGTTCGACGACAGTTGTTGACCATCGCGGAATCGGTACGGGCCTCGTGTTTTTTTTTTGTTTTTTTTCCGCCGCGCGCAATGCGCTCTACAAATGGTTGATATGGACTGACGCTTATGTCTCATTGATAGGCTGCTCGCAGAGCAGAAGATGACGTCCAGGGTATTGCGAAAACGGTCACGGATAACTACGACGACGAGGAGATCCGCCGCGACTTTGTCAACATCTCCCTTGATCTGTACGTGTCGATGTACTCAATTCACCGTGGATTTTTACTAACTTGGATATGTGTAGGGTTCTCGAACAACCCATGAAAATACCTTTTATCGCCGGCACGGTCCTGGTCGCACATAGTCTCAAGCCTGAGCTTGGATCGGAGGTTTTGAGCAAGGCAGCGGAGGCCTTGCAAAAGTATATTGATATTGGCGCATGGCGTGAAGTCAAGCTTCTTATTCGCTTCCTCGGTATTCTCCAGCCGGTCTATGAGGGTGACGGCATCTTCCCTCTTCTGGAAGAGCTGTTCGCTCGTGCAGTCGATCTTCAGACTGCCTCTTCGGAAGATGTAAGTTGGATTGGTTGACTTGTGATGATGAACCTTGTCTAACCGATTTTCTCAGCTTCTTGGCCTTGAATTGGTGAAGATTATTCAGTTCACCATCCCTTATGTCATGCTTTCCCCTGCGACTGGCTTCGAGGCCCAGGCTTCCGCGCTTCTGGAGAAGACCGATATCATCGCATCTACGCCCCACGCTCTCGTCGATTTGGTGAACACATTCAGCCCCGAGGAGAACCAGGAGGCAGCTGGCCAAAGCGTTATCAGTTTGATGCAGACTCAACTTCAAGCGGAGGCTAACCAGGGCTGGGAGCTTAAGTGTCTCCCTCGTCCTTGGAAAGACGTCCAGGACGTCGAGACGGATGAGCCCAAGTCTTTCGAGTTGGTGACCAAGGTTCCTTTCCCCACAGTGATTGTGCCTAACCCTGTACCAAACGGCGCGCGTCCTCTCTTCCCGGAGGTCTACCTTTCGGTGTATGCCGACCAAGAAGTAGACACCGTTCCTGCCATCACAGACATCTCCTCTTCGCTTATTCGGGATGCACTGGTTGATACTATTAACCTCCTTGACTTCAACCGTGTTGCTACAGCCAAGTTCCTGATCGATATCGACTGCTATTTTACCTCTACCACATTCGTGAAGCGTGCCACGCCTTTCGACCGAATGCGCGAACTTATTGGGGAGGTGCAACCGTGGAAGCCCGAGGATGTGGCAGTGGATGCAGTGTTCTCGCAGCTATTCCAATTGCCAGCATCGGAGCACAAGCTCGTCTACTATCACTCTGTTCTCACCGAGTGCTGCAAGATTGCCCCAGCGGCAATTGCGCCGAGTTTGGGCCGTGCAATCCGATTCTTGTACAACAGCCTGGAGACGATGGATTTGGAGCTCAGCAACCGTTTCCTGGACTGGTTCGCTCACCACTTGAGCAACTTCGGGTTTACATGGAAATGGAGCGAGTGGTATGTCGAAAACGTCACCTTCCACCCGTTGTAATCAGCAATCTAACAATTTCATAGGACCGACGATCTTGATCTGCCCGCCATTGATCCAAGAATGGCGTTCATCCACGGTGCTTTGGACAAGGAAATTCGGTTGAGCTTTGCCCAACGCATCAAGGGAACTCTCCCCGATCCCTACCCCAAGTTGATCACAGCAGGAAAAGAGAAGGATACTCCCGAGTTCAAATATTCCTCTGAAAGTAAGTTGTTTTTTTTTTTTTTTTTTGGAGGATCGAATAGCAGAGAACAATTGCTAACTCGAGTTTCCAGTGGCACCATACTCCAAAGAAGGGCAAGAACTCATGCAGCTTATTCGGAAGAAGGCTAGCGACGAAGAAATTCAGCCAGTCATCACAGCTATCGAAGACCAGGCCAAGAGCCAGGGCGTCGATGACCCCAAGATCCCCTCGACAGATGCATTCGTAACCTCAATCTGCTTCGTCGGATCCAAATCGCTTTCTCACGTCCTGTCATGCATCGAACGGAGCAAAGATCGCCTCCTGGCCATCGGCACGGAATCCCAACACGCCCGCTGCCAAATCATCACATCTGTCATGGACTACTGGGTCGACCAGCCCGGTATTGCCATCAACATCATCGACAAGCTGCTCAACTACACCATCCTCAGCCCGCTCTCCGTCCTTGAATGGGCCCTCTCCGAGTCTGTCGCGGCAGGAACTATCCTCTCCAAGCCCCACGTCTTCGAGATGATCTCCGCCACCGTCGGCAAGGTCACTAACCGCATGCGCCAGATCGTCGCCGCCCGCGCTCAGCCCGGCCTCTACGAGCCCCAGCTTACCGTCATCGACGAGACCCTCGCTCGTGAGCGCACTGACATGCAAGCCCTCTTCAAGTACATCGAGGACTCCATCGTCTCCATCGCTGCTGGAAGCAACGACGAACAGATGGAGCGCGGTGATGGTAGCGGTACTCTGCCCGAGGACGCCATCATCCGCCAATGGGGCCGTCGCTGGCTTCGCGTGTTCCGGAGAAAGGCTGCCGTCGAGGAATCATTCTTATCTGATGCCCTGGTCAATGCTACTCCCCTCGGCACCCAGGCCCCGCCTGTTTCTGAGCGGGAGGAAGCTGCGGATGGGGATTTGGATATTGCTGATGCTGATGCGCAATAGATGTCACATATGAATGCCATCTCGATCAGGTATCAGCTTATGCATGCTGCGTTCTCGCATTTGATCTCTTTGTGCCGTTTCATTCAATGACTTATGTCCCGGAGAGCCTTTTATTTCCTGCTTTTTCTTCTCTCTCTCTCTCTATCTTTCCTCTGTCCTGTACACTTTAACTCCGGGTCTTCAAACCAGGCCGACAGAAATATGAAAGTTTCTCTCCGATTATTCCGAGACAACCTCGATTCATTTCGAGGCGTAATTAATCTGCACCTTGCCGACCTACGTAGTTGAGTTGTATAGAACTAAGAAAAGAAAAGAAACATCCCCCAATACCTTATTGATTCAACCGTAATACCCCAGCACAGGTATATCCCTCCAAAAATACATATGAAAACTCGTGAATCGTGTACATCTTGATAGACCGACCCTAAAGGAAAAGAGTAGGGGAAAAAAGAAAAAGAAAAAAGAAAGAACAAAGGGCTGAGAAAAAAAAAACATCCAACAGGAAGTCGGATTCGCTTCCTCTATATAGCGCAATTCTCAGGACGCCCAGAAGAAAAAGGAGACAAACCAAAAGTGAACAGGTAATTAACAATAGAAATCAGCAAGTAATAAAACCGAGGATATCAAAGGGAGGTGTGCAGATGAATACAAAACAAAATAGAAAACGGAAAAGAAAAGAAAGTCCCAAGAGGAAGCCCAATCAAGGCCCATCATGAATGTGACCATGACCATGTCCGTGGAAATGAGCCTTGCGATCAATATAATAAGGCTCCCCATCATCGCCATCACTGCTAGAAGCATTATAAACGGAGAAGCCATCCTCAAAGCTCCCGCGGCGCATCTGCATCTGCATCTTCGACGCGCCCTCTTCAGACTCAACAGACTGTGTTCGATCCATGGAGTCACAGCTATCCTGTGCATCAGACCGTTTCGTCGTCGAGATCCGTCGGTCCTTGCCACGGCCCTTGATGCCCTTGTTGCTGTTTTTGTATAGCCCGGCGAAATATAACCATAGCTCGCGGTCTGCCGCGTTCATGTTCATCGCTCCGTTCTCGCCCATTTGTGAAAAGCGGACGGTTAGATTGTGGAGTGTGGCTGCGTGGAATTTGTTTTGGTGGGACTGTTTGTGGGTAAGGGGTTGATTAGCTTGGGTTTGAACGATGGTGCATGAAAAATGACGATGCTGACATAGCTACCATAGCTGGCATAGTAGAAGGATAAGAAGGGAAAAACAAGGGACTTACCTTGAGGTTGCCTAACTGGGTAAACTGCTTACCACATTCATCTAGACGGCAGTCAAACCGTTTAGATTGATCATGGGTGAGCTTGTGAGCGCGGACGTTGCCTCGCTGAGCAAATCGCTTATGGCAGATTTCACATTGGAAGGGCTTTTCGCCCGTGTGTCGCCGCTGATGGGTCTATGATTTTTGTAAGTAAAAAAAAAAAAAAACCAAAAAACCGCATGTTAGTGTCTGCCTCGTGCGTCGTAATCACATGGCGCAGCAGCTGATGTGCTTACCTTGAGGTTGCCTTGCTGCGAGAAGCGTTGCCCACAGGAGGGCTCCTTGCATATCTGCCACATCCAAAAAACGATTAGTTGGCGATCCTAACACCAAGTTCGATTTAGAACTATATGTGTACTCACAAATGGCTTATCGCCTGTGTGCGCCCTGATGTGAATGTCCAGGTGTGTTTTCTGTGCGAAGCTTTTGCCGCAGCCGGGGAGGTTGCAGTTGTACTTGCGCTTCTTGCCTGAGCGCGATAGTTGGCCTTCGTTGGCATGATAGCAGCGCGGTGGTGTGGGCGAGGCAGTCGGGTAAGATACGGGATAGGCCTGTGGTATCGGTGCTGCCAGATGTTGAAGTGGTGGCAGCGATTGTTGGGTTGGTGACGAAGCATGCTTGGCCTGGATTGCCTTCATGAGGACATCCACATTGGTTGAGAAGGCGATGTCAGCGGGGGTTTGCTTCGTCTCGTTTGACCCGACTGGTGAATTGTGGCCTCCAGTTGAAAGCTGCGGCCGTGGACCATGATCGGGAGTAGACTTGACTGTCTGGCTGATGGCGTTCTTCGCCGGGCGAATCTCTGGAAGAGACTGCAACGGTGGTTCGGTTGTGAGGCGCAGTGGTTGCGGCTGTATCGGGTGTTGACTAGGGATAAAGTATTGCTGATAGGGATTCGAGTGTGCATGTGTGTGACCCACGGAGTGACCGAAGCTGTAAGGCAAGCTACTTGGGGTCTGGTAGGGCAACGAGTACGGTGCTGTTTGAGGCGAATAGAAGGGGAAATTTTGACTCAGGGTCGAGTCCATCGGGCGTCTGTGTGCAAACGCACCCACGGCATGGCCGGGAAACTCGTAAGAGACGGGCTCTGCAGTCTCCATCTTTGCGTGTTCGAGGTCTTTTCAGTATCTTTCAGAAAAGCAAGGATACCTTCTCCCGGATCTCTTCTAGATACCAAGGTATCTCAATGTATACTTGTCCTCGGAGTGGCTTTTTTTTTTTGTTGTTTTTTTTTTCCTGTGTAGTCGTTGAATATGTTCTGAAACCTCACCCCCGATATTTGGGTTCTGGCTAGTTCTCAAGCAAGGATAGGGAAAATAGACAACCCGGCTGGCCAAAGCGCAATGAGTCTATAGATCTGGATCTATATATATGGGATGGAGGAAAGGAAATAGCAAATATATGCAGGTCATGCCGTGAAGAGGGAATATAATGATTGACAACTAGCGATGATCTTCCGCATGGCGCCTCCCCGATCTAGATATAAGGCCCCAATGCAATGGCGGGGGCGACAGGGGGAAGTAAGCCGGTGAGAAGATAGTTGAAAAGCCGGAAAGCCCCATTTTGCCTGTATGACGTTTAGGAATTGATAAAATAATAATAAACGAGTAAAAAAAAAAAAAAAAAGGGGGGGGGGAGCAGTTCAGAGATACATGCAATTACTGTGTATACAACATACCAAATGTGTTTGATTCGATGATCTCCGGGGATCCTCCGGGGATCCTGGATGATTGAGGCGACCTGACTCCACCGGGGAAATAACATAAATCAAATCAAATCGAGTTCCTAGGGTAGGGCACCTAGGGTTCCTAGAGCCCTGGCCCTGAAGCCCTGGAGCATACAGGTGCATTGCATCCATGAGATGCAGTTGTTTTGGACGCATCAAATTCCTGTACCACGAGGAAAATAGTAATTCTCATTAGTGGTAATGTATTTCGACTTCGGTGTGAGATGTGTGTCTGTCACACAGGGAAAAATATATATCAGCCGCGACTGGCGACGAAAGCCAAAGCCGTGTCTTTTTTTCCCCGATACTTCTTTGCTTTCCCCGTACTCTGTCCACTTCTATAACTGATATTGATGAAGAGACTGACATCTGTCAGACTCGAAATCTCAAAAAGAAAGGAAAAACACGCAAACCCATCGTGCTGTGCATCTCCCCCCTCGAGGAGAGACGGGCCGGGCCTTCAAATCGCGGAATTCCCAAGTGGGCCGTGATCGACCTGCAGTCGACCTGTAGATTATTCAGTCGATCTCGGAGTCAGTGATCGCTCAATGGCCAGCTGGACCGTAATTACGAGTACCAGGATGCGCCATCCCGATAGTCGCCAATAGTGTCCGATCTCAGCCCATCGAATATCCCAGCTAGCCGCCCAAGGCCCTGGAAAATTCAGTCGGGTGATCTGATTCTCTTGGAAAAAAATCAAAGGCCAATCAAGTTGTGTCTCTTTCCATCTAGTGCCATCTGTTTCTCTCTCTCTCTTTCTCTCTCTTTTTTTTGGGGGGGAGGGAGGGGGAGGAGGAAGGGGAAAAGAGAATTGATGGCCCATCGGAAGAGTTAGCACAGGGCTTTGGTCTCGATGTACTCCGTACTTTGTATGTTGTAGGTATTTTCCCCTTAATCAAATGGCTTGGCTCATGGGCCATGTCGATCATGGCCACTCGTGGGCTTAGTTGGCTCCATATTGATCCGAGAAGTGACAGCCATGTCCCATCTGACACGAGTGCTAACCCTGCACGTCCTGCGTCGAGATGAGGTGTCGGGACTTGTAATGGTTCCTGCAGGGATGCGACTAGTCTTCACGAACTACTTCCTGAATGGGCGAAGGTAGCCTGTCCATATGCGTTAAGCCTAGTTCGGTGAGATTTTGGATGGAGTTGATGTGTATATTACCTAGTCCGTACCGAATCTGATTATTCAGAATATTTGAAGTATTTTCGGAGGCTCTGTGATTCAGACAGACCGGGGATGGGAAGTTCAGCTCGTTCCAGAATGCAGAATGCAGAATGCAGAATGTCCGTGTGACCTTTTCTACTTTCTACCCTTAAACAATATACAACATAGTAAAGAATGGCAATTTTGGATTTGATAAAAGAAGTTCACTTATACACTAAAGTGTATATAAGGGGGAAATAAATAAAACACATTCAACAGCCCGTAACCAAAGCAAAGCGAAAAAAAAAAAGAAGAAAAAAAAAACATCATAATGCGCCCATAGGATCAACCCTTTCATCGTCCAGTGTACGCCGAGTATCTAGCAAAGGGGGAAAAAAAATAAATCAGCTTATGATCTGAAACACGGGGAAAATAGTAAAACACTCACCTCCAGATTCGTGCACGCATGTCTCCACTGCCGGTCGCGAACAGGTTGCCAGTAGGACTGGGGGCAACCGAGATGACTATTCGGAGTTAAAGAAAAAGAAAGAAAAAATTAGAGAAGATGACCACATGCTAAGATGCTAAGATTGAATCAAACTCACCAGAGTTCTTGTGGCCTTGAAGCATCATCTGGGCATTTCCAGTCACTGGATCCCAGAATTGAACACCGCGATCCTTGGAACCACTCATCACCCAGGCACCGTCGGGTGTCAGGCACACACTGAGAACAAAGTCCTGAATGGTAAAAAAAAAAAAAGTTAGCTTCGGCCTGTCTCTCTCTCAAGTAATCTCAGATCTAACCTTGTGGCCCTCGAATGTACGAATACACTTGCCACCCTTGATGGCACTGTGAGGGTGCATGCCCCGGGGAACGGTAAGCTCCCAGAGCTTGATAGTCTTGTCCAGACTGCCACTGACAAGGTCACGGCCATTGGGCGCGAATGCGACCGAGTAAACACTGTCCTTGTGGCCATCGGGGTTCTCCAGACGCTCCACCAGGTATCCAGTTGTAGTATCCCAGACGCGCACACTCTTGTCCAACGAACCTGCAGCCACGTAACGGCCATCCGGAGACATGGCCACAGTAGTGACACCATCCTCAATGCTAAGGGTGTAGACAAGCTTGCCATCGAGAATATCCCAAAGGCGCACGGTCTTGTCTCCACTGCCAGAGGCGATGAATCGACCGTTGCCAGCAAAGTCCAAAGAGTAAATGTCCTGCTCGTGTCCACTGAAGATATGCTTGATGGTGCGCTGGTTGATATCCCAAACCTAAAGCCAATCACATTCAGTCAGCGATCTTCCCACATACTACGGGTTCCATATAAACCGAGAACTTACGCGAATCTGCTTATCCTCGGCACCAGTCGCAAGATATTTGCCATCCGGACTGAAACAAACGCTGCGAATGTACAGGTCGCCGTCCTTGTCAACATTCTCATCCTGAAGAGTGGCCACATTCTGACCAGTGGTCACGTCGAAGATTTGAGCCGAGCGGTTGCAGCCCGTCGCCAAGTACTTGCCATCACGGCTGAAGCGCACACAGCAAACGACGCTATCGTGATTCAAATGGTGCACCAGCTCCACATCGAGGACACGCTGGACTTCGGGGTTGAACACGGCGTACCAATCGGAACCTTCACGCTTCTGCGACGGAGGCAAATCATCGGGATTCCAGTTTGCCAGCATGTTTCCCGGACGTTCGGCTGTGCGGCCGAGAGGGGGGTTCGGAGGAGTCGGGCGAGGGATCTGAGGGGATGCACGGGGATCTGGGTAGGCGATGTGCGTTTGCTGGGGGGTACCAGGGCCTGGGGGAACACGGCCACGGCCCTGGCTTTTACCGGGGCCTGGGGATGCGGTGGGAGGTGGAGGCGGCCCATAGCCTGGGAGATGTGAACGATCCAACGGGTCAGCGGACTGGGCGACGAGTTTCATAAACACAGCGACATACCGTTCACAGCAGCGCCAGCCGGATATCCTCCAAAGGAGCTCTGCTGGGGTTGCGGTGCGCCAGGCTGAGCGACCGAAGCAGGCGGTTGAAGGGGATGCTGGGGAGGCTGCTGATCCTGGGGAAGGGAAGGTGCAAGACCGGGGCCACTACCTGATGGGTTGGTCATGATACCACCAAACAGATTGCTAGGGCCGTGGCCCAAGGCAGGTGGGGGAGCCTGGGAAGGAGCTGTATGAGTCGCAGCGGGTCCGCCGATGTGGGAAGGAATGGTTTGCACGCCACGCGCCTCGAGTTCATGTCGCAGCATTCGAATCTCAGATTCGTAGCTAGAAAAAGGAAAGAAAAAAATCATGTCAGAGAGGATTATTGGAGCTTTCAAGAAGATAAAGGGAACGCACTCTTGCTTGATCTTGATCTGCGCCTGTTCCAGTTGATAGACCTTTTGACGGATCATCTCCATCTCTTGGAGTTGACCAGTCACTGCATGATCTGTCAGTTAGATAACATTTCAGCGAATGTCGGAACCCATGGAGCTGTAGTCATTTGGGGGGGGGGGGGGGGGGGGAACCAATAAGGTGGCATCTGTTTGTATGAAAAGGATTGGACAGAGGAAGGGAGCTCAAGGCGCAAGTGACCTGAGCATAAACAGAGGGTAAAAATGTGTCAGAGGGGACAGGTAACATACACTGATGCTCAAATTCACCGGTGTTTCGCGACTGGCTCTCAAACTCCTGGCGCAGTTGATCCAGCAACTCCGTCAGACGAGAGTTGGGAGCGGGCACCATCCCGCGATGAGCGTTGTACATGGTGGGATATATTTTTTTTTCTTCTTGTTTTTCTGAAGTCGCAGGGAGGAACAAAAGCGATGCTCGGGTAGTAGCTCTGGGCCAGCAAATGAGATCGCAACCCAAGGTTTTGACCTGGACTCAATGATCTTGATCACTGAGGCTTCAATGCTTGGTGGATAGCACCACGCAGCTAGCCACAGCGATAGTGGGCGATACAATATAAACTGGGAGATGAGAATTGGGGGGTGTAGTGGTAAGAGGGGTGGAAGAGGCTGGCAGATGACACTTTAAAGCGGGAAGGTTTGAGTTTGGGGGAAGGCGGCAGTGGTTGACGCGAGAAGCGAGGTGATAGGCGAGAAGCGCAGCGGGTCTTACCGTAGACTAAGGTTGTACATAATTAATTCGTATCTCCATGTTAGATGGATAATTACATATGTAAATGAACAAAGTTTCACACTGTATGATCAAAAAGTCTAGGATTTTTTGGTTCAAAATACTTTGTTCAAATAGTTAAGGTACATATGTAGTTATGTACATTGCACATTGTACATCCATAGATGGGTCCAGATCGTGAGGTTTGCATAGAACCGGTATTATTCCAATGGCTGAAGATACCCGAGAATACCAGGGAATACCAGGGAATACTTGGATCTACACCCGCAAGTGTGGGCAGTGGAGGTACCTCTGAGTACGGGAAGCAGAAGTGGAACTGGCCCGTGCAGTATCACTTCAGTATTGCACTTACTATACGATGTACTGTACGGAGTACTTTGGCCATTATTGCCTGATCCATCAGGCCACAGAAAGCCACAGTATGGCACTCCAGGCATAAGGCATAAACTGTGGCAAACCAGGGGTTCTTTAAGTTTTTCTCTCTCCTTTTTTTTTAGTATGACAGCCCTAGAGGACTTGGTAGACCACTAAGGTATACGAAGTGATAGAAAAGTGAAGATATACTAAAAAATAATATTATATTATATACTTTTATATACTATAATGTCCACTCATAAGATAACTATATTATAATCCCACATCAGACCATTCCCCCTGGATCAATTGGCTTATTAAGAAAGGGTGGCATCGCAACGGCTGTGGCGGTTCCGCGCTGGTGTGACTACTTTGTTATTCGCTACGAATCTCCTTTTTTTGTTCCTTCAAGTGCCTCTTCAATTCTTCCCTCTCTCCTCCCCCCTCACCACCCTATCTGTGCCATCAATCATGGATATAATTCTCGAATTATGGGACACCTTCATTGGTGATCGCCTCTATTCGACACTCCTCCCCGCCTCGCTCTCTTCGTCCGTCTCGCTGCCGGCCTTCGTCAATGCGGCCGCCAACACGTCAATGGCCCTTTTTGGTCCAGAACCTTATGTCTATGAACAGGCTACACAGATGATCTACCTAGAACCTTCGAAATACGCATACCTGAGTGCTTGGCCTAGAAACAATGTCTACCGTCAATTCACCAGCTTTTTCTTGATTACTTGGTAATGCGCCAATCCCGCCACTTTTTCCCCCCGCGTCAACACAAGAACTAATACTTAATTAGGCTGTTTGGTCTGCTCGTCTACTTTTTGGTCGCTACGCTTTCATACATCTTTATCTGGGATAAGACAACCTACAACCACCCCAAATTCCTCAAGAACCAGATTGGTCTGGAGATCAGACAGGCCATGGCTGCAATGCCCCCAATGTCACTGTTGACAGCTCCTTTCTTCGTTATGGAGGTCCGCGGATATGCCAAACTTTACGACACCACCGCCGAGGAGCCTTTCCCGTACTACAGCCTCATCCAAATCCCCTTCTTCATCTGCTTTACCGATTTCTTCATCTACTGGATCCACCGTGGTCTGCACCACCCCCGTGTCTATAAGACCTTGCACAAGCCTCACCACAAATGGATCATGCCGAGCCCTTATGCATCGCACGCCTTCCACCCGCTCGATGGCTGGTCCCAGAGTGTCCCGTACCACGTCTTCCCCTTCATCTTCCCCCTGCAGAAGTTCGCCTACGTCTTCCTGTTCGGATTTATCAACCTATGGACTGTCTTCATTCATGATGGCGAGTACGTTGCCAACAGCCCCATCGTTAACGGTGCGGCCTGCCACACCATGCACCACTTGTACTTCAACTACAACTACGGACAGTTTACCACTCTCTGGGACCGTCTTGGTGGCAGCTACCGCAAGCCCAACGAGGAGCTTTTCCGTAGAGAGACGAAGATGGGCGACAAGGAGTGGAAGCGCCAGGCCAAGGAGATGGAGTCAATCCTCAAGGATGTCGAGGGCGAAGACGATCGCAGCTATTCTGCCGACAAGAAGAATCTTTGAAACGACGGCATTACATTCTTCACGACTTCACAATGATTGGTTCTAGGCTACAGGGACCATCCGAGGCCCATTACAGACTCCCCGATAGACGGGGCTGTATGTCTTGGCTTTCTTGGCCTGGTTTTTGGATTTGCACTTTTGCATCTCCCTGTCGTTTCCCGTGCCATTTTTTACGCTGATTCAAGTACATTAATTCGCCTTGCGCATCTTTTACCTGTTTTAATACTCCCAAAACTGACCGCCAGCACTCTGGCCTACTAGTGATCTAACCCTATTCTGTACATAATCTTCTTTTTTTTTTTTTTCCGTGGACAGTCGAAATGCATTTGGTTAGGTCTTTTCTGTACTTTTCTTTTTCTCTATGTGTTGCATGTCCATGGGTCATCTTAACGGCCGAAATTTGGTGCAGATGTATGATACTGCCAAAACTATGAAACAAGAAATAGCAAACTAATTCAAAGTTATAAGATTGAAATTAATATTGAGAGTCATAATCCATTCCATATCCATCTTTTGTTTCCATCGAGTACTTTAGCCCCGAAAATCCAGGCACTCCTTGAAAGAATGGCTGGCTGAAATCCAACAGACCAGACAACCTAGTCTTCGCGAGGCAAACACTGCGATCACTGCCACCTATGGAAATAAGCCTTCTGATGATGATCCGACACAGGGGAAAAGGATCCTTTGATGGAACGAGAATGATGGGCACCTTGCCTTCGCTACCGGAGAGCCTGTATGATAACTCCTCGCGATCCGTCTGTTGCATGAAACCCATTCTCAGCCAAATCCTGCTCCCGACTCGGCCAGGTTTCCGCACTAAACTGTCCGGATTCAGAAGAAGCAAGTCGCTTGTGAAGAGCAACCACTCGAGCGGCCTGGTGAGAATCCCCACACTCCAGCACCGTGATCTTGGCCTTCAACTTGAATGCCAGAGTGAGAATGCGGTGGTAGAAGATATCCTCAGGCATGCAGTCTTCCATCCCGGAACCCGAGTGTGGAGGCACAAGTGCCAGCTTTGGCTCGAAACGCCGTACACTACGCGCAGTGGTGCCGTTGCGGAACTCCGTTTGGGATATGTAGGGCGGGTTGGAGATTAACAAATCACACTCACTTTCTTGGTTGGGTGATGAGATGCCCAATCCTCCAAAATTGGGAGGTTGGGTTTGGAGTATTGACTCAATGGACGGTACTGAATTGTCACTGCCATGTCCGAGAACATCGGCGCGATAGAAGTGGATGTCTGTGTCTGCGGTGGATGCCAATTGACCCAATTGCAGGTTATGCTCGAGGTTCTTCCGGGCTAGTGTTAAAGCCGTAGGGCTGATGTCCACCCCTGTTATCTCCAGCTGAAAATGAGGGGCAAGTAATGCGTGCAGAAGAAGTGGTATGCAGCCTGTGCCAGTGCAAAGGTCAATGACACGCAAGGGTCTCGTCTGATTGGGAGACTCAGGCTTGTCAATACGGCCCAGAGCCATTTGACGGACTAATTTGGCCGCTTGGTATGTATATGATTCAGTTTCTGGTCTACAAAACGTTGTCAGCAAGAGATATGGCTTTTTTTTTAAAAAAAAAAAAAAAGATAGAAATCTGGTAGGCAGACCTTGGGATCAGAACACCTCTTCGGCAAAGAATTTCCAAGTCACCGAATGGTTGATCTCCAAGGATATATTGGAGAGGATATCCTCTAGATCGCATCTGACACATAGATCTCAAGTGGCTTCTCCATCCCGTTCTTTCAAGAGACTGACTATCAAGGACTGCCCGCTCGCGTAGCCAGCGAAGTTCATTGCGAGCAGAATCTATTGTGCGGCATTCTTTGAGGAGTATAGGCAGAAGGTAATTTTCCCGTTGTGCTTTTCTAATGACAGAAAAGGGGATTCGGGGCATTATGGGAATATCAGTGGTCAGTCAAGGAACAAGGAACGTTAGTGCCAAGAGATCCCGTAGATGCCAAGATACATATATCGACTGATAGGGACTAGACATACTTCCCTATTCCTTTTTCCTCGGTTTGATAGAAAGTATCAAAAACATTTAGAGTACGACTTTGGTGTACAACCAGGGATTCCCTGATAGTTATCATTAGGATATTAGTACCCCACTTGTTAAGTACTATATTTAAATCACTTAATGTCCATTTCATAACACATAAAAGCTAGATAATTGAGAGTATGACGGAAAAGAATTCTAGGTATAGCCTGCCCAGACTCCAAATACACCATAGTATGCAAGAAATATACAGAAGAAAAACATGTGAATCAAAGGCGTTAGAGAGCCAAAAGAGCTCCCACACCGGCAAAGCCGACAGCCAGGCGTTTCGGCATAGCGGTGGCCTTAGGGATGGCCATATTTCCAGTTGCAGAGGCCGAGCTGAAGAGGCCGGATCCTCCAATACCTCCAATGCGAGCAGCGGTGCCACCAACTGGCGCGGTGGTCACTGGATTCGAGACTGCAGTGGCACCGGGGACGGAATCGGTGCCAGTCCCGATCTCCAAGATATCATTCTCGGTGGCGTTGAAGTTGGTGCTGGCGAGGGAGATCTCATTATTGGCGAGATCGTATACCACATACGCACTGCGCAGGAACGTATCTCCCAGGACTGCTGTGCTGCTTCCTGCGGGAACAATACCGAAGACGCAGGCCCGCTTGCCGTTTCGGAAGTAGATATCGCCAACATCGATGACCATCTCTTTGATGCCCACGTTAATCGTCGGGGATGAGAACGTGTAACTGAGGGTGATGTCGTCATCTGCCATGCTGCATTCAACGTAGCCAACGCCACTCTCCGATTCGTAGGAGACCCCGAGATCATCGTAGATGTCCTGAACAAGGGCATCTGGAAGGTATGTAAGAGAGCTTCCCGAGTCCAGTAACACGCCCACCGGAATGGAACTAGAAGAGTAGGTATTTTCACCGGAAGAATTGGTGAGGGACACTTTTGTGAGCGCAATAATGAACTCCGAGTATAGTCCGCGAACCTTCTGGACGGGGACTGTTTGTAGGGCGCCGTGATATTTTTTCGTGTTGACTCCACCAAATAAAATCGAGCCGGTGTTCGCATCCAGGTCGTTCAGCCAAAGACTGTAGGCATTTGATTGGATTATTCCTTTCCCGACCATCGCCTTGGGCAGGTTGGCATAAGCCGAGTCTCCATTTCTGCCAACCTGGACTTCATTCACGGTGTATCCTATACCCAGCACGCCCTCTGTACATAAACATCTCATGTCAGCTCTGTGGTAATGTTAGATCTGACACAAATCACTCACCTGGAGAGCCAGATGAAAACCCAATGCCAAATTGGAAGTCTTTAATAGTTGTGCCTCCGATGGTAAGAGTGTCGGTCACATAGTCTCCGGCAGCACCGGAACCATCGGCATAGCTGATATTGAAGTCCGAGTTCACAAAGGAATAGGAAGAGGAAGAGGTCGAGTCGTAAGTACCGGATTCAGCGCAGACGTTTTTGGTGGATGCACAGAGAGTAGAATTTGGTGTATTGCACCACAAATCACTACTTCCAGTGTCGAGAACCAGACGTACGGTCTGCTTGGGGGTACCCAGAGTGACATTACAGAAGTATAAAGTTTCCTAGGTAGAAACATCAGTATATGCCGTAAGATTATGTATCTAAATATAGATATGTGTACCTCATTGTCCAATGCCTGACTGACTGTCGAGCGTTTCCTTCTTGCTTGATCTCTAGCGACGGGGTTGGATATATCGTTTCGTTGAATATCCATTTGTACCACCGCGGGGTTATCTCTTCGATGAAGGGTTATGCCCCAGACTGGCATCACCAGGCCAGTGACCAATAGGATCCAACTATTTTTCATGGTGCCGATAGGCCCTCCCCGAATTCGGCCCGAAAGTGAGAGATCAGCTATTGTTGTTTCGAACGGGTTTAAGAGATGATATTCCTGAATGGGTTTGGATGAGGATGGGTGAATAGCAAGAGTAAGGAAGAAGTTGAGAAAGGTGAAGAAATTGAAGAAAGGAAAAGCAAAAAAAGAGTCAAGAAAAAGAAATGGCCATGGAGTTACTCGGCTCCAACGGGATTATACGATTACTAGTATTACTAGTACTAGTACTAGTACTGATAGTATATAGTGTATAGTGTAGAGCGTATTATATATGTATTATATATGTATTATATATACTGTTGCCTGAACGGGTAACGCGGAAGTCCTCCAAGTGCTGTCGTCACCGTATAATATATGTGGTCTAGTACATGTATACATATATACATATATATATTGACAGTAAGCCTTGAATTTACATTATTTATCTAAAATCCCCCCCAAAAAATCTTTAGTTCATATTCTTATGTTAGGTATAGCATACGTACGCGACATACGTAGTGGAGGCGATGACGCGGTTGACTCCACTTTAGTCCATCTGACTCTTACATACGCGGAGTAGTTGTATACGGAGTATACTCATGGACTATTGTACATTCTTACTATAATCACTCTATTGTAACACACTTGCCACTTACAGACCCATCGCTTCCCGAATTTGCTGCATGGTCACCCGACTGTTGGCCCGCGCTGCTTCGGCGCCCTCCTCAGCCACTGACTCCAGGTAACCAGTCTGATCCTCCATGATCGTAATATACCGATCTCGGATTTCTTGCAAATGATACGCGATCCGGTCTGCAACATGTTCCTTGAGCGATCGGAGACTGGCGCTGTGGAAGTCGGTTGCAATCTCCTCGCATGATACACCTTCCAGGTGGCTTAGGATCTCAATGAGATTAGACACCCCAGGCCGGCGCGTTGGGTCGTAGGTGATGCTTCCTTCCGAGTCGGTCAGGGCTACCTTGACTTTCTGGCGGATTTCAGCCGGCGAGTCAATAAGGATAATCCGGGATTTCTCATCGGCGTGCGATTTGGACATTTTGGAAGTGGGTTCCTTAAGGGACATCACTCGCTTGGCAGGAGCTTGGTCAAGTTAGTGTCTGGTCTGTACCTTCTGTCTCTTCTGACATGGGCAACTGTTATCTTACATATCAATGCCTCTGGGATGGGGAAAATCGGCCCGTAGAGGTGGTTGAAGCTGTTTGCGGTATATCGGGAAAACTCCAGGTGCTGTTTTTGGTCTTCCCCAACCGGGACATGGGTAGCTCTTGGTGATCGTTAGTAAAGAAAGCGTCAATGCAGACAAGAAATATACCTATGCACAAGGATATCGGCAGCTTGTAGGACTGGATAGGAGAAAAGACCAAGTCGCAGCTGTGCTCGTGCCGTTGAATCATCCAGCGTGGCATCGTCGGGCAGTTGCAGCTTGCTCTGGGCGGGTGTCAATAGAATGTTCTTATATAAAAACGATAGGGCTGCTCACCTTCCACTGTGTCATACGCGATAGATACCCCATGGAAGCCACCGTACTGAGAATCCACATCAACTCAGTATGTGCCGGCACCTGATGAAATGTCAATATAAAGTCTCCATTGTGCTTGGCAGCCGACAGCTGAGACACGGAACCTACACCTGACTGGTAGAATATTGTCGAACGCTTAGGATCTAGGCCCACAGCAAGCAATGTTGCAAAGGCCTCTTTCCTCCATCTCTTTAATTGAGCTGGATCTTGCGGTACCGTTAATGCATGTAGATCAACAATAGAGAAAAATAACTTGGTTCCTTCGGCTGCATCCTGCTGGAGCTTTACCCATTGATGTAAAGCTCCTAGGTAATTGCCCAAATGAGGCACTCCGGTTGGCTGAATCCCAGAAAATATAATGGGCTCTTGTGCCCGCGTGCTGTTTGAGCTGTTCCATCGATGACATCTCCTTGGGAGAAGGGAGAGCCCGCTTGGGCGGATATGGGGGAGTTTCGCACGCAATGACCCCAGAGAGGCAAATTCATGACGCATCGCGTTGGCAGACATCTCCAACAAACACTCAATCGGTGCGAGAATGGGAAATTTCAAGTGCAATCACTTCGTACTGTCGTAGACCCTAATGAGCCCGAAAAACGCGAAACGCGAAACGTGTCACGTGACCTATATCGTACAATGTGTACTGGGAACTAGATATTGTCTATATCGATAATAGCCAAATTTCACCTATTCCACCAATATCATATCGAAGTGGTAGTACGTCTATTAAGGGGCCCAGTTGTGGCGAGCAACCCTTCTTTCAGTATGTATAAGTTTCCTTTCATCTGGGCTGAAATGAGAATAGTAAAACAGTAAAATACATATGGCCTAGATCAAGAAGGCTTTTGAATATAATGAAAACAGCGCCTGTAGCAAAGACACCAAGTCCGCATGTACACGGATATACAAGTTCAACAGTAGATTACCATTCCATCTATAGACGCTTGCGCTCGGCGAATCGCTCACTGTTCAAAGTATCGAATATCGTGCCCGGGGCCGAATTGTCCTTTCGCTGACCGAATTGCGTGAGCTCGGGGCGAAGAACTTCTTCCACCTCGGCAACAGAGGCATCCATGGCCTTACCAGCATCTATTATAGAAAAGATGGTTAGTACCCTGATCACCGAAGACGCTATCCAGGCGGAGGAAGAAGGAAGGGGGAAAAAAGGGTAGCCCATACCAAGACTGTCGTGTTCCCAGACATTTGCCTTCATACCGACTCCATAAAATGCGTGCTTCCGGAGGAATGCAAGCCATGCCTGCACCGCTTGTGGGTTTCCATCCTTGATCTGAATCAGTCGACGGAGGGTGATTCGTTCAAAGTTCTCTTGACTCTTCTTGTGCACGAAGTTGCTTCGGGGTACGGTCCAGCGTTCAACGATGCGGGGGAGAGGCACAGGCCCGGACACGGGGAGGTTGAGGTAGTAAGCGGCACGAATGGCAAAGTCCGTGAAGAACTCCACGTTACGGACACTGTATGATCGCAATTGAAGGTCGCAGACTGGAAGGCCGTATTCCACCTTCCTCCGCAAAGGCCGTAAGTATATGGCTTGCACACTTCGTGGAAGTCGGCTGTCCTCGCCAAATGCTCCTAACCGTTCAGACCTAACCGAACTGTGAGCAGTGATCTTCGATATATTTTTGACATTGAGTCAATTGAGTCAATTGAGCCAACTGCCTTGGACACTAACCATTCTTTCACACTAGACTTGGTGATTTGCTCAACTTCGGTCGGTCTGAATTACCTCAATTAGCGACAAAGCCAAATACTAGATTTGAAGGGTTTCTTACGCTACTGGAGCAGTCGATGCAGAGGCGGTAGCGGTGGGGGTAGCGGCGGGAGTCGCGATGGGCGTGGTAGGAGTAGGGGAAACAGGGGCAGCTTCTGCAGGAGCAACTGGTGTAGAGGTCGGTGTTGGGTCTTGAGCGGGTGTCTTCTCTTGCTCCGGCGGAGTTGGCTGGGTTGGGGATGATAGAGAGCGGAATGGCACAGGGGCCTTTCAAGGAGGTGTTAGTACAGCAGTTGTGAATCCCACATAATAAGAACATACCCGGAGGCGCTTGCCCACTCCAATTAAGGAGCGCGATGTGTATGAGAACATTGTTAATCGTGATTTTGAGGAAGATCCGTTGTTGTTGGCGGATGGGTTTTTTCGGGGAGCGAGTCCAGGGCGGTGAGGAACTTGGGATATAGAGAAACTGAAACTACAATGGACGGTGATATATCTATATGATACTATGCATTAAACCATTGATACAATAATAGTAAAACAGACAAATAGACCATGATCAAGAGATTGAAATCGATGATTGCTCCAATTGTGATTAAAAACGAGTACAACCCTGTGGTACCGATATATCTAGTGTTCCCTTTTAGGTGATCGACTCTCTTATTCCAGGCTTTTAGATAGAATGTTCTATTCAATGAGTTAGTAGATGTGGTTATCCTCCAAGGCCGCTTATCTCGAATGTTTTCTATGAATCGGATCATTGCGACTCCCCGCCAAACTAGCGACCTGGGCAATGGAACCATGTGACTCCGCACTTGGAAACGTCCCTTTTTTTTTTTTTTTTTTTTTTTTTTTTACCCCTACTCTCCCACTTGAGAGAGAGATATATATATAAATATCCTACTTCTTCTTGTATACGACACTAACGTCTGCAAAAATGACAAAGATAGACCTGTCCTCATTCGACCGGGCCAACGAAGCGGTTTCTTATCTCAGAACCAAGTTGCCAGAGACCCTGCAAAAGCCTCAGGTTGCAATTGTATGTGGCTCAGGGCTAGGAGGGCTTGCAGATACTATTCAACCTGAGTCACGGATCGAATTTGACTATGCATCCATCCCCCACTTCCCTCGCTCAACAGGTTGGTCATCTTCTCCGGGCTCAGAGAGGAGATCTAACTTTCCACAGTCGTTGGTCATGCTGGAAAGCTGGTTTTTGGTCTTCTTGGCCAGAAAATCCCTGCGGTGTTGATGGTTGGCCGTGCTCAGTCAGCTTAAGCCCTCATTCTGCTTGTAATATCACAGCTAACCTTGGCCTAGTTACTACGAGGGGCACTCGATTGATCAGGTGGCATTCCCAATTCGAGTGTTCAAGCAGTTGCAAGTGAATACGGTTGTCTGTATGCTCTACATGATCCTTAATAATACGAAGATTGATGTTACAGAACGAGGATTAATGATGTTTGGTAGTGACCAATGCGGCCGGAGGTTTGAATTCTGAGTATGCTGTGGGGGATATCGTTCTATTGAATGATGTAAGATAAATCCCCGTCAACGGTATCGAGTGGAGTTATTCTAATACCGGATTACAGCATCTCTTCCTCGCAGGTCTGGCAGGGACTCATCCATTGAGGGGAGCCAATGAAGATGAATTTGGAGTGCGATTCCCACCCCTGTCTGACGCCTATGACCTTGAGCTCCGTCGCCATGTGCATCAGTCATGGAAGAAAGTCATATCACCGGAAAGCAAGAGAAAGTTGCACGAGGGTGTATATGCATTTTGCGGAGGCCCCACGTAAGTCACCTCAACACAATCCGTTTGAATCCGATTCTGATAGCATCAAGCTACGAGACAAGAGCTGAGAGCCGGATGCTTCGAATGCTTGGTGCCGATGTGGTTGGTATGTCCACAGTACCAGAGATTGTTACCGCCAGACATTGTGGTCTACGTGTGCTTGCATTCAGTTTGGTCACTAACAAGGCCGTGTTGTCCCCTGTGCCTCGCGGAGATGACGATTTGCTCCAGAATAAAGCAGCAGGCGAACTGAGTGCTCTTCTAGAAGAGGGCATGGCAGGACACGAAGAAGTTCTTGAAGCTGGCCGCGCGGCGGCCATTGACATGCAGGTAAGGTCGTTGCATCAATCCTTGGGAGACAATGAAATTGACATCGATCCAGAAACTGGTTGTCGAAACCCTTGTGGATGTCTTTGATAGCGTTTAAGACTGGGCTTGACACAGAATGCATATGATGATCTCAGATCGTGGCGATCTAGGTCTGCTTGTTATGATCCTAGCAGAGGCCATTTTGTTGAGATGCCGGCCATGGCTAACATGGGGGGGCGTTGCCATCTTTGGTATAGTTTGACGAAAGTAGAGACCGAAATTTCACTTGTTCTTCCGGGTTCTCTTTGCCTGCAAGTCCCTGTAAAAGGACTTCTTTCCGCTAGTTTTGTTGGTTTGAATGTCCCTGTATTTGGCCTGGAAGCGCTTGGTGCCACGTTCGAGTGCCAATGTTTCCTCGACAAAGTTTTTCTTGCGGTCCTTCTTGGTAATACGATTGCTGAAGAACTCGGTAGGGCCCTCGATGATAGTTCCAACCTGAGAATATTCTGGCGGTTTGGCCTTGCCATTCTCTTTCTTGTAGTGACGCTTGGGATCAAGCACAGAACGCATCCGGATGAGCTGCAGATCTCTCTTAAGCTCTGGGGTCATTTCTGTCTTCGGGAGGTTGAACCACTCAGGTCCAGCAGTAGGCTTGTCCTATCAAAGGTGAGGATTGTTAGCAATTGCCCACAGATATCGCACACCGAGAGAATATAGTAATTATGGTGAATGCTCAGAGTAACTATGAATAAAAAGGCTCTCACTGGTGCAGCTCAGTCCAAGACGGACTGGGTACGCCGCATCAAGCGCTTCGCGTTGGGAATATTTTCCTCATAGCAAAAAATATATATAAAAAAAATCAAGGCAGGACTGCAAGGAAGGAATTGGGTGACTCACGGTATTCACTTTCTTGAGTTCAACCGCGCGAATAGAGTTGGCCAACTCCTTCTGTTTTTGATCGGTGATCTTTGCAGCATCGACAGTAGCAACATCATCTCCCTGGCGAATGTATGACTCCAGCGAGGACCCAGGTGACAATTTCGGGATTCTAGAGGGAGGTTAGCCTAGATCCTAGCTTATTAATCTTGAAAAGGTTCCCATACCTAAGAGATGCCAGATCATCAGTCTGGGTGGTTAGGGTATTGGAACCCTTCAGTCGAGTCTCTG